TTGTCTATTCTGTGAATGTTTTGTAACAAAAATAAATAAATAAATGTTTCTGAATGAAAGCTTAAATAATTTGTACATTGTTGTTTTAGACTTTTTCAGTCTTTTTAATAGTGTCTGTACCTTCTTCGTCTGCATCGGTGGCAACAAAGACTTGTTGAAGCTTGTGCTTCTTCATGAGACTATGGATCTTCTTCACTGCTTCTTTGAGGCTGGGCACATCTTCTCTGTGCCCCCAGATGAAGTCCTTCCTACGCAGGTGGACTCCCAGGTAAGGGCCTCCCTTAGCACTGCCCAGCCTGTTCTGGGTCCAAGAGTTTACAAAAGGTCATGCAACAAATATGACTGTTTTGTCATGCTGAAATGAGCGTGGGTGTAAAGCACAAGGCAAACATTCCAGAAATTAACTGTCTTGACATGTGAACAAAAGCATTGACGAAGCTCAAATACTTCATCTTGTTATATAAACACCAGTTTGACTATATCTATTATGCTGGCAGCAATGACACCAGTACTTTTTGTATTTGAACAATGAGAGGGGAGAGTTAATGTAAGTGAAATATACTTTCATTTGGGTCCAGTCTTCGTTATACGGCGTCTGGTCCTGTTTGTCTGTGGAGTTGAGATACTTGGCCTTAAACTCGTCTCCTATGATACGCAAGTGTTTGGCAAACACCATACTTCGCCGCGTCTGTAGAACAATAAAATGAGATAGGTGAGATATCTTTCAAAAGGTCTAATTAATGCTACATTTTTAGCCAAATTATTTCAAAAACCTGAGAATATTAATTCATGGACTTACATCCCAGTAGTCCTTCCCAGCATAGTGATCATGAAGGACAGTTTCAGATCTGTCCAGCATTATTGACCTGTGGTTCAATGAAAACACATGTATAGGACCCCATTTGCATTTAAAAGCTATTTTAATTCAAACTTATTTCCAAAGTGACTTACGTAACGTTTAAGTTATTTTGTAAGACAGGAGCCAAGATAGAGGCATGTCCCTGAGCAGATAAGCAGGTGACATTCAATGCCCTGGTCTCCTCATAACCCCAAAGCCAACCTCTGGAGAAAAAAAAAAAGATTTCATTAAAGAAATGGATTGAATTTCTTTTCCTATGCATTACTTTTTTTCAGTGGAACACAAAAGAAAATATTTTAAAGAATGCTGTTTTGTTTGGACTTTTTTTTGTATGGAAACAAAGTTCAAAATATATTCTTTTGCATTCAACAGAACAAAGAAAATCATACACTGAAAGAACATGAAGGTGAGTAAATAATCACACAAACTATCCCTTTAAATTTCGGTTTGTTTCTCACACAAAGCAATTGTTCGGCTTCAGATGATAATCAAATATAATGCATAAGTTGTATGGACATACATTTAAAAGTTTGGGGTCAGGAAGGTTTATAATATTTATAATATATAGTTTTATTCAGCAAGAATGCATTCATTTCATCAAAAGTGACAGTAAAGACTTTCATAATGTTACAAAAAATGTATTCCAATAAATGCTGTTCTTTTGTACTTTCTATTCATCAAAATAATCCTGAAAATCATGTTTCACAGTTTCCACAAAAATATGAATCAGCACAGCTGTTTTCAACATTTAATAACACTAAGGAAATGTTTCTTGAATACCAAATCAGCATATTATATATATTACAGTATTCTATTTATATTTATATTTACACACACATACAGTATATTTTGAAATATTTTATTTTGGGGTGAACTGTTCTTTAACAATTATTCATGTATGGCTTTAAAAGTTGCATAAACAATACCTTGCATCCTTCTATAAGTACAGTATGTCTGTCAAAAGCACCTGAACTGGCTGAACCTGTCATTTTAAAGCAGTACCTGTAATAACCCTGTTTGTCTTTTGAGTACATTAGCTTTTCGATGCATGGTCGTTCATCCACCTTCTCCTCCCATTTCCCATCTGTCCAGCCCTCGGCATAGCTCTGCAGCACAAGGATCTGGTCAATGAAGGGACCTCCAGACTCTGAGATCAATAATAAAGACACAGAACGTGGGAATGATAATTGAGTCTCAGCTTTTATTGTTTATTAATGCAGTGCTCCTACTCATATTTAAATACTACATTGTAAAAACGTTTACTGGAGTATGTCTTTCTACTTTAAAATTTCACGTTTAATTCAGTGTGTTACTTGGTATTTCTTTGTATTTATTTGTGGAATTTACTAGCAATTTCTAAGTGAAAATTGACTGTATATGACTAACTAGACAGTCACGCAAGACTATCCTGTATTTTCTGTGCCACTAGCATCACCACATGGAATTTTAAACCTGTTTTTCCAACATTCCTCCTGTCTGAATAAATGAATGACAGGTAAATGAAGCTAAATAATGACATGTAATTGTAATCTCTCTCTCTCAAACACACAAAAACAGCATGGCTCACCAGCAATAAACTCCTCATACTCAATGATTGGTATGTTAGCCTGCAGGCTGGTTATGCTGAAGAACTCCCCCCACGGGATGCGAACCTGATGTATATCAGGACTCTGCCAGTGATACAGACGACCCCATGGAGGCAAAACTAGCACCCAGTCGCCCTCTTTCCTCAACGTCTTCAGCAAAGAGGCCATGCGAATGTACACATCTCGGCGAAGATTGAAGCCCTCGGGTGGATTTACATCATATAGGAGGTATCTGAGCATTGCATATAACAGGATCAATGTATATTCAAACTTTCAATACTTTGGTTTGAGCATTTTTTGCCTAAAAAATAAAAAACTAAACTAATTTTTTCATTACATTTAGTGTGAAATATTCTAGGTGATTCTTCATTTTGTTCTTTTCTTTAATCAAAATGTTTCATATAGTAAAATTAGATATTTTCCCCTACTTCTATCTCATTGGAAATCAAATTAATACCAGACTAAATTATAAAAAAAATAAACTAAAAATAAAAAAAAATAAACTAAAAATACATTTATAAATAACAGATTTCTCAGACTGCTATCACAAAGAAGTTAATAATAAAACCGAACAAATTAAACTTTCAATTATTTATTTGGAGCATTTTTGAGTAATTACATTTTTCCAATAAATTTAATATAAAAATTTTTAAGGGGATTTATTTATTGTATTTCCTCCAAATAAAATGTTTCATGTTTTTAAAATGTAACGTTTTTTTCTACCTCATAAACTAAATGCATTTATAAAATCTGATTTCTCAGACTGCTAGTGCTATCACAACGAGTAATAATAATATATTTATATATTTAATAATAAAGTTAATAATATATTTCGTGAATCAAACTTTCAATAATTTCGTTTGGGCAATTTAATTATTCATTAATTTTAGTGTTAAATATTCCTGGTGATTTTTCTTTTTTTTTTTGTCCTTTCTCTAATCAAAATGTTTCAAACAAAACATGTTTTATTGTAAAATTATGTGTAAAACAAGTTATTGGTGTAAAATTCTATTGTTTTCATATAGGCCTACTTCCATCTCATTGGAAATCAAACCATACCAAACACAATTCTTTAGTTAGAGAGATATAGACTTTTCACTTTCTTACAGTTTTTTAGTGAACAATGATCCATAATGACCGTTTTAATAATACTGATTATAAAGCTGAATGATATCCAGTATAATATTCAACAGAGAAACATTTATATTTGGGTGTAATGAAGGGGTACTCGATCCTTACATGTGGTGCTGAAGGTACATAAAGGGGAAGTCAAACGTTTTACTTCTGAAAGTCTCTTATAACCTGGTAACCATAGTCATTTATTTTTGAATTACAGCGTTCATACGGCACTACATAACAGGAATAAACCAACACAAAATGACATAATAGTTGTGGACATTTGCCATGTAAAAGTAGGAAGCATTTTTTCCAACAAATGATTCCTACCGAACATCCCGTGATGCTGCAGCCACCGGAGACAATATCGACTGCCCGGCACGAAATGCATCGTCCTCTGTAGCCGAAGTGAATTTATAGGATAAAATAGTTAGGATTAATACCGCATAATGTCGTAAAATATCATGAAAGGGAGCAGACCCAGCTGTTCCCCTCTTGTTCGCCATGTCTTTCGTAGCCACGCACTTCCGGCGTCGGTACAGTTGCATAGCAACTCAAGCACCTTCTTCTTCTTCTTTACATTTTATTGGCGGTTGGCAAACCAACTTAAAGGTGCATTTACCGCCACCTACTGGACTGGAGTGTGGGCAGTACTTTGAGAGAAAGCACAATGAGAGAATTTAAAAAAACATTATAATCCCCCCCCATTATAATATATATATATATATATACACACATACTCCTTCCCCCCTATATATCTCCATCAAATTCTTTCACTTATCCCAGTATTTTTCAAATAATTCATTAGGAGACTATGTATTTCCCTAGACATTGTTTTTCCTAGCAGATTTCCCACTGTCATGTTTTGTTTTCCAACTTGTGATTCTAACTCCCTTCTTTCTTCTTCATACCTTTTACAATCTAATAAAATATGTTTTACTGTCTCTTGTGTGTTGCAGTGGTCGCAAAGACCAGTAGGGTGTTTTCCTATTCTCTGTAATGTAAAATTTAAACCAGCATGACCTATTCTAAGACGTGTAATTATCTTTCCTTCCTTTGGATTCCTGCTCTGCCTAATACTATTTAAGCCTACTTGTTTTTGTATGTTATACAGATGTCGTCCAGTATCAGTTATGTCCCAGTATTCTTGCCATATTTTGCTTGTATGTCCCTTAATAATGGTTTTGATTTCTGTTCTACATAACGGCACCTCTTTACAGAACCGGTTTATATCGGAGTTTACGCCTTTTCACAGTCATCAAATCCAGTTTTTTAAGTTAAATATAGCTTTATACATAAGATCATTAATTGGCGATACTTGTATACTTGTTTTATTTTTTCTAAGAAAAAAAGAGCATAATCTGTGCTATTGTTCAATGGCAAAGCGCGAATGAAACTGTAGTGGGCAGTATCGGGACTGTTGTGACACATCGCGAGATTTCCTCGCTGGTGTCGCGCCACCATGACATCGTGAAGCAGGGCCAATGAGCAGGGGCGACAGACGGAGAACCCTCTCTGTGTACAGTGATCCAGAACATCAGCTGAACTCTGAGTTTTCGCCATGTTATTAATAATCGTAACATCTGCGCTCAGGTGAGTGTTCCTCAAGTGCCACAGGTGTCATGTCATCAGGGATTCGTTCTGCATATAGACTCCAGAATTGAATTATTGCTTGCAGTTTGATGTGTAGGAGATCTGCAGACAGTGCAATATAGGTCTCTTTTTCAAAAAGAATGAATGAGATCAAGTTTGGACGTTGTCTTGTGAATATACAATAGCTAATAAAGTAGGGAAAGTGTCGTTTAAATGTTTGCATAGATTGAACCCAGCAAAACATACTTTAAAATGTTTTAGAAAACATATAGGAGCAAACTACACCTAATGCATCATATATATGTTAGAAAATGTTGTGCAGTGTTCTTGTCTAATAATAAAAGGCATGAACATAAATAAATAAACATAGTCTACTGTGTATTTGAGGGTTCAGTTTCAAAATGTTCTGTTGCCTTTAATTGAATAATTTTAATACATTACCCGACAATATGTATAACAATTTGATGTTAAGTTCAGCATGAAAACAATAACACCACGGTTGATTTTTATCTCATACAGATTACGATCAGCCTGCAGATTGCAGAGAATACAAGGACACATGGTAAGCTTGAGCCCTATGCAGGCAAAAGTATTATTCATACTAAATTTTTTGAGACAGTCAAGAGTATGGACACACTTAATCATATGTATGATCCTTTTCAATTAATTTTTTATGACCCTAAAAACCTTTTGGTCTGGTGTATTATATATAATGCTTGAAATAATTTGGTCTTTTTTCCATCTTATGTCTTATGCTTAAATGTGCATTTTATAAAAAATAAAAAAAAGCACTGAAAAGAATATGTGTGCAAACCTTGTGATGTACACGTTTTAGTTTCGTATTAATTCTTCATGTTTCTCCCATTGAATATTGTTTTATTACTGTGTCTCAGATGTCCACTAAAGCTGGGTCTGAAGTTCTTCAAAAAGAATGAATGAGATCAAGTTTGGACGTTGTCTTGTGAATATACAATAGCTAATAAAGTAGGGAAAGTGTCGTTTAAATGTTTGCATAGATTGAACCCAGCAAAACATACTTTAAAATGTTTTAGAAAACATATAGGAGCAAACTACACCTAATGCATCATATATATGTTAGAAAATGTTGTGCAGTGTTCTTGTCTAATAATAAAAGGCATGAACATAAATAAATAAACATAGTCTACTGTGTATTTGAGGGTTCAGTTTCAAAATGTTCTGTTGCCTTTAATTGAATAATTTTAATACATTACCCGACAATATGTATAACAATTTGATGTTAAGTTCAGCATGAAAACAATAACACCACGGTTGATTTTTATCTCATACAGATTACGATCAGCCTGCAGATTGCAGAGAATACAAGGACACATGGTAAGCTTGAGCCCTATGCAGGCAAAAGTATTATTCATACTAAATTTTTTGAGACAGTCAAGAGTATGGACACACTTAATCATATGTATGATCCTTTTCAATTAATTTTTTATGACCCTAAAAACCTTTTGGTCTGGTGTATTATATATAATGCTTGAAATAATTTGGTCTTTTTTCCATCTTATGTCTTATGCTTAAATGTGCATTTTATAAAAAATAAAAAAAAGCACTGAAAAGAATATGTGTGCAAACCTTGTGATGTACACGTTTTAGTTTCGTATTAATTCTTCATGTTTCTCCCATTGAATATTGTTTTATTACTGTGTCTCAGATGTCCACTAAAGCTGGGTCTGAAGTTCTGTTTGAGAAAGTTGGAAACGCTGGAGTCATCACACTAAACAGACCCAAAGCTCTCAATGCTCTGAATCTCACCATGATCAAACACATCTACCCTCAGCTCAAGGTTAGGGGAGACTGGAAACCTTTCTCACAACATCAATAATAGCCCTATATTAATTTTGTCACCCAATCCAACTTTATATGACAATCTCTGATTTTTAACCTACTTTAATCGTTGTGTTTTTGTAGAAATGGGACAAAGACTCAGAAACGGATCTAGTGATCATTAAAGGAGCAGGGGAGAAGGCATTCTGTGCTGGTGGGGATATCAGAGGTAATTATGTAAGATAATCGTGCAGTTTAGTTTTTCATTCACTCTTAAATGGATCTATGCATAGATAATACAGTCAAACAGATCTGACATTCACACTGAAATGCAAAAAATATTTTCCAAGCTGTCTCAGAAGCTGGAAAAGCAGGCGATTCTCTCACTCAAGACTTATTTCGTGAGGAATATATTCTTAACAACACTATTGGTATGTTTTCACACTTCTGTTGCCGTTTTTGAGGTTTGATGAACAGATTAATTGATTGATTGATTGATTGATTTTAACTCTTTTTAGGTACATATCAGAAACCGTATGTGGCTCTAATCGATGGAATTACAATGGGAGGAGTAAGTATTCATCTAAAATTGTTGTCTTGCTGCACAAGTTCACCAGCAGATGGTGCTGTCTGTTCTAATTTAACAGAATATGGCATTAAAGGAACCAGAGGGCCAGAGGCAATGTGGGCCAGCTTGTCTTGTGTTTACAAAATATAAAAATAAATGAAGGACAAAGCGTTTGGCTTTATATAAAACAATATATATATAACTATTCCATTCTTTGCATTGTCATTATGTCATTATGAATTTGCCCAAAAACAGTAGGACTTACATTGCTACTGGCTTCATGCATAATGCACAATCTAGGTGTTCTCATTTGTAAACATATGCATGAAAATACTTAGACATAAGGATCCATGAGTTATTATTATATGCATTCTTAGTGCAATTTTCCATATTTTGCAATCATGTTTGACCATATGAGCTGCAAGCCAGTTGAAGCACTATGAGTCATAAACCCCTCTTTTAATCCTCTTAATTTCTGTCCTGCACTGAGTATTTTATCCAGTAGGTGTCAGCAGTGAGCTAATCTTGCAGACAATCTTTGGGTTTCTTATGAATCAGTTCTCAAGTGTCCTCCCATTGGTAGGCCATGGATTTGTTTGAGTAACACTTTATATTTACATTCATGTTGTACATTACGTGTAGGCCTAAAAGTCATTCATTTAATAATTACAGTTGCAATTAGAGATGCATCACAAATAATCTGGATTCAAAAATGTATACTCAAAATTTTAAATATTTTAAAATGTATTTAAAAAATTTACATTTTAAATTAATTAATTACTAATAATTCTGCTTACAATAGAGAGGTGCCTAAAATTCCGTCTAATGCTTAAAGGAATAGTTCACCCAAAAAAGAAAACTTTTCACCCTCAGGCCATCCAAGTTGTAGGTGAGTTTGTTTCTTCTTTGGAAATGTATCATTGCATCACTTGCTCACCAATGGATCCACTGCAGTGAATGGGTGCCGTCAGAATGAGAGTCAAAACAGCTGATAAATTCATCACAATAATCCACTATTAATCCACACGACTCCAGTCCATCAATTAACATCATGTTGTGAAGTGAAGAGCTGCATGATCGTAAGAAATAAATCCATCATTAAGCTGTTTTAACTTTAAACCATTGCTTCTGGCCAGTATAGTCCATAATTCATAAAAATGCTTCGTCCAATGGAAAAGTCCATATTTGTTTAGAACTGTTTTTACTTGTAAACTGTGCTGGATCGGTGCATATTTATAATTCAGACTAGATTACTTTTTCACTGGAGAAAGCAATATTATGGATAGAGGACTCGTCTTTTAGCTGGAAGCAACGGTTTGAAGTAAAAAAAAATGTCTTGATGGATTCATTACACATGCAGCTTTTCACTTCATAAAACAATAGTTAATGGACTGGAGTTGTGTGGATTACTTGTGGTTTATTGTGATGTATTTATCAGCTGTTTGGACTCTCATTCTGACGGCACCCATTCACTGCAGAGGACCCATTGGTGAGCAAGTGAAGTAATGCTAAATTACTCCAAATCTGTTCTGGTGATCAAACAAGCTCTTCTAAATCTCGGATACTGTAAGTATTCATTTTTGGGTGACCTATTCCTTTAAAAAAATGTGTATTCTTAAGCAGCATATTCAGTAGATGTTGTTCATTTGTATTATAAAACTTTCACTATTACAAGAACGTATTAATCTGTACTAACTTTATATTTTGAACACTCTTTTACCAGCACAACAGAGCAGTTGAAATATTACTGTCTTCATAGTTTCATGGGGTTCTGGCAGTAGGAGAGCAATGTCTCAGTGGTGGAATCTGTCAGCTCCTGGTGTTTAATTGATCAGGGATTCTGTCAAGGTCGAGGTACAGTGGTTCGACCTCAGTGCCGTGCATCCTTTGGTCTGAGCCGTTTGATGCATAGCTGCTGCGTGATATGTTTCAGCTGGGGACTCTGAACTGTTATTTAAGAATGGAATGACCATGCAAGTTCACTGAGCATGTGCTGACCTCAGATGTCCCTAAGGTTTAGAAATGGATTTTTCCATTTACTCAGATATTTGAGAAAAAGAAATGGGCGGTTGCAAGGCAGCAGCGTATTATTCCACAAATATTCTTGTTTTCTTCTTCCGCTTTATCTTTTTTCTGCAATACATTTCTTAGAGATAATAATATTTTTTATTATTTACTCATCCTCATGTTGTTCCAAACCTGTATGCTAGTTAGTTTTCTGTGGAACACAAAATGGAAAAAAAATAAATAAAAATTATGATTTTAAGTGGCTCTTATATACAAAAAGCTATCTTACTAATTTGTATTATGTGTAGTTTAACAGACATGGTCACTATGAGCTATAGTTGTATTTTTGTTATTTTTAGTTGATTTATTTATTTTATTAGCAGTCTCCATTATGATAAATATTTGTAGCTGTTATTAACTTTATAGTTTTTAATAAATTTAAGAGAAAAACCTTTAAAATCTCCTGCTGAATTGGGTTGACAGAATGTTCACTATTCAAAATTTAACAGCTAGCAAAGATATAAACATTATTTGCATTTTTTTTGTGTGTGATTGGTTCTCTTTCTTGTATTTATTTGCATACTAAATTGTATTTGTTGTCTTCAGTTGTAGTTATTGCCTCTACACTACATTTGGGGTCAGTAAGTTTTTTTTTGTTTTTGTTTTTTTTTTAGAAGTTGATACTTTGATTCAGCAGGGACACATTAAAATGACCAAAAGTGACAATAAAGACATTAATAAATAAATTGTATAAAAAACATTTTCAACACCGATAATATAAAGAAATGTTTCTTGAGCAATTCTAATCTAGTTTTAACACCCTGAAGTGTGTATGAGTTCCTCTCATACTTGGTCTAAAGCAGCTTTCCAAAATCCCTATTTAGAGATGTGAGGAAGGCATAAGTCCTGTCAATATAAGTGGTAGTAGATTATCCAATAATCGCCGCACTTTTAATAACTTTCTGACCGTCGCTCCTTATCAGTTATTCCTGTTTTTTTGTTTTTTCTTCTGCATATTTCGAGCATTTGTAAGAATGTACTCTTTTGCTTTGATTATATAGTCAGCATTTGTGGATCACTATAATGATGGTCTTTTGGTCCCCACTGAAGCTGCATTCTCATTAACTTGTGCGTCTGTGTTAAGTCTTTTGGAACAGAGTTTTGGACCTTGCGACGAATATGGGCAGCAGGATGTGACGCCACACTCTTGGGCATCTGTTATGAATAAATGACAAATAATAATAAAATCTGTGTTACATATATTGGAAGAGCAGTTAGAAGTAGGCCAGACCAACTCCAGATTTAAATAAATCATTAAACTCACACTCAAAAGATCTTTCATATGACCTCTGCTGAGTTAATTTTGACCATCTCATTTATGTAATGAAAATCACACCTTTAGTGCTTCTGTAGCTTTAATTAAGCAGAGCCACAGGACAGATAATACAGAGTCTGTATTATTACAGACTGCAGTAATACAGAGGACCAGAAAGAGAAGGGCATCTGTTATGTAAAAAGACAGCTTGAATGCTTCTAGCTACACAGAACTGGTGCACTGTTGCATTCTGAAATATGTAGACCACATTTCATAATGTAACTTTGTTTTCTCTATAGTGGACACGAGTATAAACTGTTGTCTTCTACTTATGTATGTTTTTGACCTTAATGGGCATAGAAGTTATATTACCATTCAAAATTTGCGGTTGATTTTTAATGTTTTTTAAACGCCTCTTCTGCTCACCAAGGCTGCATTTATTTGATCAAAAATCCAAGAAAAACATTAATATTTTGAAATATTATTAAAATGTACAATAGCTGTTTTCTATGTGAATATATTGTCAAATATAATTTATTCCTGTGATCAAAGCTGAATTTTCAGCAGTCATTACTCCGGTCTTCAGTGTCACATGATCCTTCAGAAATCATTCTAATATGCTGATTTGATACTCAAGGAATTCTTATTGTCAATGTGGACAAAAATTGTGCAGCTTATTATTTTTGTGAAAACTGCAATACATTTTTTTCCCAGAATTATTTGATGTCACCTTTATTTCTAGTGCTTTATACAGTACAACACAGATTGTGTCAAAGCAGCTTCACAGAGAGACAGGAAAATAAATGAATAGAAGGTTCAAAAGAACAGCATTTATGTAAATCAGAAATCTTTATAAATGTCTTAAATAAAACATAAATGTCTTTACTGTCACTTCTGATCAACTTAATGAATCCTTGCTGAATAAAAGATTACATTTTTTAAAAAGAAACCCCAAAACTTTGAACAGTGGTGTAGGAACTTTTGAACTAAGATGTTAAAATATATATATATATATATATATCTCAAATTCTCACCTGTGGCTGCATATGTTTAAGCATGACTTTTCTCTTTTAAGTTAACAGGAACTTTTGATATATTTCTACCTCTAGCATTTTTAGATTCAGTGGTTTGCCAAGTACCTGATAAAGCGGTTTGCCTTCTTTTAGGATATCTGTGATGAAACATTCCAGAGCGCTTTCATATTAGAAAACCACCAGATTAAAGATGGTCTTTAAAAATTTTTTGGCTACATATATGTTCCATATTAGTCTCCTAAAGAGGAGATGCTTGTGTTTTTGATAGGTACTGTTTTCCATCCTGGAGTTGATTCTTACATTTAGAAGCTGTCCGCAAGTTTTCGTTCAGATTCCAGCCAAACATTTTGGACAACCGATGAAAGTTTCAACCGCTTCTAGGTGAATGATTTGATGCTTCCAGCTACAACATGTGCTTCCCGTTTATACTTAAGTTGCCTCATGAAAATGCTGTTGCCAAACTATTCAGACAGTTTATTCCTTTCTTCTGCTTCTGTTTTGACTCTGTGATAGTTTGGATGGTTGTTCTCACTTTATCCTAATCACCCTAATGAGTTTTCATGTAGGGGACACATGGGCTGCTCTGATTACAATATGCTTCTCAAATCCCCCAGAAGATGATTATTGTCCGTTGAGAACGCAGCCTCCAGTTGGTTTCGTAATAACTGATTTTATGATGTGTATTTTCTTTAACTAGATGAGTCCATGTCAGTCATGCTCTGTGATCTGATGAGTCACATCAGCTAAATATATTAAAGTGATTAAGACGACGATGCTGTCTTTGACTCATTTGTGGTTCTTTTTTATGACAGAATCAGGTTGAGTTTTTTTAGTGGCAACAATGAATAAGTTGTAGGCTTTTGGCCATGTTATTTTGTGTAACGGCAAGTTTTCGAATTTTGCGCTTCCTGATAGTCCAGGATGTTTTCTTTAGAAGTTGCTTCTAATTTTTTGAGAATAATTTATCTACAGAGCAAGGTGTCTAATGGTTGATATAATGCTAATATACAGTTGGGGTCATTATTTTTTATAGTTTGGAAAGAAATTATTTTATTCAGGAAGGGTGCATTAAATTGGTCAAATGTCACAGTAAAGACATGTTTAATATTACAATATTATATTTTGTAGCAATATTCAATATCAATATTTTGTAGCTGAAATATTAGATTTCTATTTCAAATAAATGCTGTTCTTTTGAACTTTCTATTCATCAAAGAATCCTGTAAAAAATGTATAATGGTTTGCACAAAAATATTAAGCAGCACAACTGTTTTCAACATTAAAAATAATAAGAAGAAATGTTTCTTGGACACCAAATGGCCATATGAGATTGATTTCTGGATGATATTTGGCCAATATTGATCAATTCAAAAATCGGTCAGTTATTAGTGCTAAAAGACCTGACAACTGTTCATCTGTGTCTGTAATAAGTATCAGCTGTCTGCTAGGGTTGCTGTGTTGTTGTTGTGCCATGTGCACCATTTGTTTCTAATCCTACACAGTTTGTGTACAAGCTGTGGATTTTCAGAGCACATAAAAATACGGTGTGCCGTACATCAGTGACTGTTTTTTTATTCCATTCCTGCGTCTGCTGTTTAGGCGATGCTGTCGTGATTTAGGGTCTCAAACACAGTCTCAAACTATAATTTTAAATTGTAATTATATTTCACAATATTAATATTTTTACTGCATTTTTTATCAAATAAATGCAAAACATAAAAAAAAATGTAACAAACCCCAAATTTTTGAACGGTAGTGCATATCTAGACTTGTAATATAGCACACAAGTCATATGGACCATACATACAGATTTGAAACATGAGGATGATTAATGAATTTTCATTTTTGGGTGAAATATTGCTTTATATAGTGTCTTACAGTGAATGGGTGTGGAGACTTGAACCCTCATTCTACAGCTCTCCCCATCTGGTCTGTGAACATTGTAACCAATTATTGATCTGTACTGTTTTTTTTTTCTCTCTGCAGGGCGTGGGTCTTTCAGTTCATGGACGGTTTCGTGTGGCCACTGAGAAGACACTGTTTGCCATGCCAGAGACGGGCATTGGTAAGAGGCAGCCTGTGTTCCTCTCTCCCTGTGGGCTGTAACTGGGTTATAATCTGAGTTTTCATTAATAATGCAAGATGGCTTTGGCGTCACAGGAATCAATAGTACTTCATCCAAAAAATAGATGTGACAAGTGAATGTAAAGCATACCATTTGCCAAAAAAGAAACTGTAGTTTTGGCATATCAATTTAAAGGAGTAGTTCTCCAAAAATTTGCTGAAAATCTGTTCACCTTTAGGTTACCCATGATGTAAATGAGTTTGTTTCTTTATCAGAACAGATTTGGAGAAATTTACATTTACATTAGATCGCTTGCTCACCAGTGGATCCTGTGCAGTGAATGGGTGCCGTCAGAATGAGAGTTCAGACAGCTGATAAAAATATCACAATAATCCACATGACTCCAGTCCATCAATTAACATCTTGTGAAGTGTTTGTAAGAAACGCATTCATCATTAGGGCATTTTAACTTTAAACTGCTGCTTCTGGCTAAAACATAACATAATCCATAATAATGCTTCCTTCAGTTAAAAAGTCCATCTCCTGTTGTCCTCTCACATCAGAATCCACTGACATATTTCTTTAGAACTGTTTTTGCTGGTAAACTGTGCATATTTCTCTCCTGATTCAGATGAAATAACTTTTTCACTGGAGAAAGCAATGTTATGGATAGAGACTCGTATTTTAGCCAGAAGCAATGGTTTGAATGTCTTATGATTAAAAATGTCTTATAATGTCTTAAAAATTATGATTTTGCTTATTACAAACATGCAGCTTTTCATTTCATAAGACCTTAAATGATTGATTAACTTATCTGACGTTTACTTGTGGATTATTGTGATGTTTTTTTCAGCTGTTTGAACTCTCATTCTGATGGCACCCATTTACTGCAGAGGATTCATTGGTAAGCAAGTAATGTAATGCTAAATTTCAGATCCAGATTTGTTCTAATGAAGAAACAAACTTCTTGGTCTGAGGGTGAGTACATTTTCAGTAAATTTTCATTTGTGGGTTAACTATTCCTTTAAGTAGCACTTTTTTTCTTTCCTATTCCACTTATAATTACATTGAGTTTTGTGTGGTAAGCAAGTAATGTAATGCTAAATTTCAGATCCAGATTTGTTCTAATGAAGAAACAAACTTCTTGGCCTGAGGGTGAGTACATTTTCAGTAAATTTTCATTTGTGGGTTAACTATTCCTTTAAGTAGCATTTTTTTTCTTTCCTATTCCACTTATAATTACATTGAGTTTTGTGTTTTTCCTACATAAATTGTACACAAATATTCATTTGCATCTTGACTGTTAGATATGTCCAATCTTTCAACTCATGACCAGCCAAATTACAAGTAGACCAGTGTGAGATGACACAGCACACATTTTTTGCAGCTAAAAAAAAATCTTTCACAGCAGATTGGTCAGGTCAGTTTTATGTGGAAACAGTGTTGAGAGATGGTGCGGATTGAAGCACCTGTCTGATGCTTGTGGTCTCTGAATGAGCGGCATGCTAAAACTCTCCACAGACAGCGTGAATCTCCCTTTTGCTCATGGAAGGAATTCTGGCGATGTGGATGGCATTCGATCAATCTGCCGCTGATATGTAAGTGGGTGGGTCTTATTCCAACCGTAGAGCCAACAGATGATTCTTGCACTGCTGTATGTAGATTTAATTTCCTAACCTCTCATCTGGTGTAGGTGGACAGCTCAGTTCATAGTGACATAAATTGTGTTACAGAACAAAGTATAAAAACAGAGTATAAGCACCATTGTCATTGCAAAAATTCCTTGCAGATGCAACTTGCTGTGGTAATTTGTTGTATAATCATCTTTATACAATTTTTAAACATGACTTACACTAACATTAACACTACCGAACGTTTGGGATCCGTAACATTTTGAAATGTTTTTGAACATTTATGCTCACCAAGGCTGCATTTATTTGATCAAAAATACAGTAATATTATCCATGTTAAAAACAAATTCTCTGTGTAATATTTTTGTGAAAACAGTGATACATTTTCTCTATGATTCTTTGATGAATAGAAAGTTCAAAAGAACACTTTTTATTTGAAATAAAAGTCTTTTGTAACTTGTTTTTTTTTTTTTCACTTTTGACCAATTTAATGCATATTTGCTAAATTAAAGCAATTATTAATTTAAAAAAAAAATCTTCCTGTTTCCAAACTTTGGAACTATAATGTTGTTGTAGTGTTATACCACTGCTGATGTTTTTAGAGAAACTGAGCTTGTCATAAACTTGAAAATTTTAAATACTGTCATCACTTACTCACCCAGAAAATACGTGGTTAGACATGAAGTTAAGAAAATGAAGACAAAATGTAAATTTTTGGGTCCAAAGTGAATGTTTCCACATCCATCTTTCATAACCATCCTCTCAGAATACATCCACGTGGGCTGCATCTCGCTTTTATTGCACATGCTTTAGATTTTTCGTGCTTCTTTTCATTCCATGTTCTAATCACACCCTGTGAATGGTATGTCTGGAGTCTTGATGCGGTATAAATCAGATTGTCTGTGATGAATAGTTTGCCCTTGTCCCTATCACATGCTCCTACACATGTAAGCAGAAGTCTGCCTTGGCTATTGTAATTCATTCTGGACTCATAATGAGAGAGCTTTACAGCATTTCCTCCTGAGTTGTACAGTGTCCTTCACTCTTGCAAGCCTTGAGAGAAGACTCCCTGCGGAACTGTTAAAGAGTGGCAGGAAGTAGTGCTAATCACGGTCTGTGTCACATCTGTTGAGCGTCTGTGCATGTGCGTGTGTGTGTGTATATTTGATAGAGTGAATGCACAGTGTCTGTGTGCCATCACCCACTAATCCCATTAAGAGCCTGTGTCTCTCAACCCCAGATGAATGATTAATCCTCTTTGGGTTTGCAATTGTCTTAATGGTTTATTCTGTGGTAAGGTGGCCAGATTAATTTGTCTTGTAGCCGGGTACTTCCTTATAGTCCTTCTTCCTTGACATGAGGTGGTTAAACAAGTACTACATCATCATGTGCACATCATTTGTGTGGATCTTCAATTCAGCTATTGATCAAAAAAATTGGCTATTACATTTTTTTATCGTATTATTTATTTCAGATGAGACTCCAGTCAATGCTGTATGTTTGCCAATTTGCTATAGTCAAGTCAAGTCACCTTGCTATACAACTTAATTGTATAGCGCTTTATACAAAACTGATTGTCAAAGCAGCTTTACAGTGTCAAACAGGAAAATAGTTGTAAATAATGCAAGAGGACAATAACAAAGAGTCATTTTCAGTGATGTCATCATCCAGTTCAGCTCTCTTCCAATAGTGTCTGTGAAATCGGTCAAGCGTCCCCAACTAAGCAAGCCAAAGGCGACAGTGGCAAGGAACCAAAACTCCATTGGTGATGGAAATGGAGAAAAAACCCTGGGAGGAGCCAGGCTCAGTCGGGGGCCAGTTCTCTTCTGGCCAGACGAAACCAGCATGGTGTGGTTTAATTCCAGGCTGCAACAAAGGTCAGATTGTGCAGAGGACTTGTCTGGTTCCTGTGGTCAAGTCACAGCTGATCTGCCAGAGTCAAGTCACAGCTGAGCTGCCAGAGTCAAGTCAAGTCATAGCTGATCTGCTAGAGTCAAATCAAGTCACAGCTGATCTGCCAGAGTCAAGTCAAGTCACAGCCGATCTGTCAGAGTCGGGGATCTGTCTCTGGGGCTCATCTAGTTGACATGGTCTCCTCTGATATTCAGGGCTGTAGAGGTCGTTTCTAGGTGCTGGTCCACCATCTGGACTGGATCCGTGTGACTGCAGTGAACATCTGATCTGGATACGGTCTGGATCTGGGTGACTATGTTGACCTCAGAATAAGAATTAATTAGACCAATATGAGCGTTGATGCCATTCTTCTTATAAGCGAGTACATCGGGTGTTATGGGAAGTGTTCTCGGTTCCTGTTGACCAAATTAATGCAGCCTAACAATCCTTTAATGGATTTGAATTATAGAAATGTGTTATGTGTATGCCAGGTTAAAGAGATGGGTCTTTAATCTAGATTTAAACTGACAGAGTGTGTCTGCCTCTCTAACAGCATTAGGTAGATTGTTCCAGAGTTTGGGCACTAAATAGGAAAAGGATCTGCCGCCTGCAGTTGATTTTGATATTCTAGGTATTATCAAATGGCCAGAGTTTTGAGATCGCAGCGGACGTGAAGGACTATAATGCGATAAGAACTCGCTCAAGTATTGAGGAAAATTGTATTCAATGTTCAATAGGGAGCCAGTGTAGAGTTAACAGAACTTGGCTAATATTATGGTCATACTTCCTGGTATGTAAGAACTCTAGCTGCTGCATTTTGGACCAGCTGGAGTTTGTTTATTAAGCTCGCAGAGCAACCACCCAATAAAGCATTACAATAATTTAGGTTGGACAAACACGTCCCAGACATCCCACCCTAGACCCACACCATTGGTAGAGCCAGTGTTTCAATCTAAAGTGCACTCATTGTTTTTTCTCCACATTAATTATTTGTATTTATTATTTTTTTACACATAAATTAGTACTATTAAAAATATGTTTAGAATCAATAACATTCCAGATGAGTCAAGATACTCTTTTGAAAAACATATTTATTTATTTATTTATTATTTTCTTTTTCAGATGAGACTCTAGCAGTTATTTTAGTATCACTGATATACTATTTTTGAAAATATATTGAATTAGATTTTAATTTTATGTTTTGTTTTCATTTTAATATTAGCAATTTTGTTGTGTTTTTGTCATTTTTATTAGTTTTAGTTTTATTTTAATTAGTTTTTAAATGTGTAGTTTTTATTAGTTTTAGTTTATTTAGTTTTAGTATTTTAGTACTTAAACTAAACAAAAATGAGAAATGTTGCCTCAGCAGCTATAACTGAAATAAAATAAATAATTTTAATCAATCTTATTTTAGTTATTTTGTTTCAAGTACGGGAAAATGTTTTTTATGGTTTTAGCTAACAATAATAACCCTGAACTTGGCAGCATAATAAAAGTTTCTATGAAAATCTGCATAAATAATGATTTATTAACAAATGTTTTAAACATGTTTGTCCATTTGCCATAGATTCAAAAAACACACCCCAACTTACACCATTGGTTGAGCCGCTGTTACTATGTTGGGTCTCTCAAACAAACAATGTTTTGATAGTGTTTACGCTTTTCTGGGAAAGAAGTGGTGCTGGGAATCTTGTGCAGTTTTAAAGTGGTTTAAAGAACTGATTTTTTTTGTTGTCCTGTATGCTTTAAATGCTCCAGGCTAAGTGGGATTCCAGAAGGAAAGCACCATGAACAGCATGGTAGCAGTAGCCTTGAGCCATTTGTGCTGAGCTGTGGCATTCGCCCATGGTGGCACCTTCTCTGACAATGTGCCAGCCATCTGTGTGCCGAAAATGCCCCCCTCTCCCCATCTGCAACCTGGTTCCGCCCCTTCACCCCCTTCTGCTGATGGATTATGGGGCTATTTGAGTTTTAAAACTATGCCGGCCTCGAGACAAAGCAACTGGGTGAACGGCAAGCTTAATCTGCATTTATGATATTACATTTGCCTCTTGGAATCAGGTCGGGGACCTAATCCTGTCCCGCCTTATTCAAAATTGTACCTCATACTGTGTGTGTGTGTGTGTGTGTGTGTGTGTGTGTGTGTGAGGGAAATTATGTTATTTTTCTCAGTCCTTGCTACTAAAAAAAGCACATCAAGTTAATACGATTGTAGCACCACACTATGCCATTTCATAACCACATCCTGCAGACTGAACAGTGCATTTGATAACTGTTTATGCAAGGGTTTTACAAACTAGGGGCCAAGGACCCCCTTGCAGGTGCCTGGAAATAAATAGCGTAAAGAAATATTTGTAGAAAATGTTAATATTTGAAGAATTTAACTTTTGACATAATTTGACTTATTATTTCAATTATTTCATTCAGACATGAGAGGTTTATCATGATTATTTAATTATTTTTGATTATGTTTCTCAGGTTTATACCTCTAACATAACTCCAATAGTGGGTAGAAAATGATATTACTTCAGCTTAATTCGTAAATATTTTCATGTTATTTTTCATTTTATTTATATTTATTATTTTTTAATCCCATCTTTTGGCTTTAGTATAATGACAATATAACATCCAATTACTTGATTTTGGAAACAACATATCATGTTTAATATTTTTCCTAAATATCATAATTGGTCTGTTTACATGGAAATATACAGCTCCTATTATACTTTAGGAAGGGGTTCCCTTGAGATCATAATATTTGTCGGGTCATTGGCATCAAAAAAAAAATTGTAATGCTCCTACTTTATGTGACAGTGAAATAGCTCATATAATCAAGCTCTTTTTGTTCATTCAAATATTTCCTCAGTTTTAATATTAGTTATGAAATCACTTGAGCAATTATAATTCATTACCTAAAAAATAACAGATTTTTACTCCTGTGGCCAGAAAATAATCTTTTTTTCTTGGGTAAAGAGCATTAAAAGTCATGTCTCATTGGTCCTGCACAATCTTAAGTTGAAGGAAGACAGCATAGCATAAACACGCAGCAGATGTAGAGTGTCCCTATGTGGCTTAAACAGTGAATAAATCTTAAGTGCTGCAAGAACCAATCGTTATGGATTGAAATTCATAGCCGAACCATTTGTTTACTGACCTTGAGTTCGTAAGTATTTTTTTCTGCATTCATTTTCTCAATAAAAAAAATAAAAAATCTTCAATAAAGAAGCCTTGAACCAAACCGCCCAGCTCTGAATTACAGCACATTTGATTCAGTGTAAAATAGTGTTTGAAAATATGAAAAACATACAGACTGAAATTACAGACTTTACTAAAAGTAAATCAACTAGTCATCCCATGAAGCAGTGCAATCAATTATTTCATATATAAATCCTGTGGTGTTTTTTTTTTTTTCAGTGGAGAAAATGATTGAGATTTTTGTGTCCAGATTTGTACTTCATGTCATGCTCTAAATGGCTTTTGTTTTGTGTGTTTTGTTTCTATAGGTCTGTTTCCTGATGTTGGTGGTGGCTACTTCCTGCCCAGACTTCAAGGCAAACTAGGGCTCTTTCTCGCCCTGACTGGGTTCCGCCTCAAAGGGAGAGATGTTCAGAGGGTCGGGGTGGCTACTCACTTTGTGCAGTCTGACAAGGTAATGCACATAGACAAGAAATTGACCAGTATTTGGCCATTTTGAGGTTACATAGATATTCAATTGGCCAAATAAATGGCTCTTTCCCTTGCATCCGTTTGTCATAGTCTACTGATGGCCTTGTGAATAGATATTGCACATTTTTCTCTTGTCAAAGATTGAGTAAATAATTAAGTAAATATTGGAAAATTTCAGTGTTATTGTCATTTTCAGCTAAAATATTTTATATTTTTATAAATAAAATATAAAAATATGATATTTAACATAGTTTATAATTTATTATATATTTTTATATTATTTATTATATTATTGTATAATTTAAAACATTGTATATAATATATATTTATAATCTGCATCATAGACAAAGCCATATCTGATATATTGGCTGTGATTGTTTCACGTTGTACAATGGTTTCACATGCAGCTCCTGGTTAGGACACAGTGCTAAGAAGCAGCTATTACAATTGTAGAACAGTTTTAAGACTGTTTCGAAAGGATGAAACTCAAATTCAAGGTAATGATGACTGGAAGGGAGCTGTGCTGGTGCTGGCCTCCTGGGCTTTTGGGCTGCAGTTCTTGCATTTGATGCTGAAATGAGAGAGTTACTGAAAGGAGAGGACTTATGCTGCGTTCCAGGCAGGTTTTTGAGCCCGTAAGTCACGACTTCAAACCACGACTCACGACTTTGGAGCGTTCCAGGCAAGTCACGCCAAACTGCCTGAGCGCAAGGAATTGTGGTAGCTAGATGTAAACAAACCAGCATGGCGGACCGTACGGGGCTTATGCTCACTGTGAGCTGGCTAGCTAAACATTGTATGCCTAATTTCGCTATGCTGAGAAATTGTACATTACATTATTTTTTTGATAAGCATGATCGTTTGCATGGTCAAGTTCAGGTTTACCTAATGTTACCTTAACGTTAGCTATGCCCAACATTTCCATGTGGCGATATACTTTCACGACATACTTATGGTTTCAGACACATAACATTGTAATACATAATCGTGTGTGTATTATTTATTATTATTATATTATTATTAATTTGATTGCAACGTTATATTGTCCTAAAGTCTATTTCTCACCGTGTACCACTTGCATAAACACCACATCCATAGGGGCTGCCATTGTTGTTTCGCTGGCTATGTGACGTCAAAGCGCGGAACTGGGAGTACATCGATCTAGTACGAGTTCACGGGTGGGAAGTCACGGGTTTGACTGCCGTTCCAGTGCACTTTCACGGGTAGAAGGTTGGAAAAACACGGGTTACGGGTTGCCTGGAACGCGGCATTTCTCAGGCTTGCCAGCGAGCTTTCGGCAGCAGGGGGCGACTGAGCCCTGACACTATGCCCAGTTCATGTGCCAGAGGTGAAAATGAAGACCAGGGCTTGGCACTGCTGGAGAGAGGGGCATACAAGCCTACCCACACACACACACATCCTCTGGCCAAGGACAGATGACCAGCAGGATCTGGCGTACACACTACACACAGAAGTGACTTGTGATAAAAATAACCACAAAAGGGCTCAGAGGACAGGGCGTTAGTTTGTACCGCAGAACTAGTCGTGAGCTGATTCAGTTTGTTTTATGAGCAATGTAAAACAACCCTGACAATTAGGCTATATATTCAGTCGACCACAAGGGTCAGGGAATTTTAAAATTGTGATTTTTAGGCCTGGAAATCTGTATAATTTAAGATTTTAAAAAAACTAAACAAAAAAACATGGGATTTCTATAGTGAATATACATTTTCTAATCCTATAAAATATTTAATCGATTAGAAATTGTTCTTTCCATGTCCAATCTCTTTAAAACCTTATCCAGTAATCAAAAGTGGAAGAAATAAATTTTTCCAACATGTGGGAACCTGATGGGAGAATTAAATGCCATTCTTCCTTTTATATCCTGGTGTAATGCATTCTATTCAATATGTTAGTATAGCGTGTTTAACAATGCATATTGTTCCAAAGCAGCTTTAGAAAGAATAAAGGCTTACAATTCCCTGTGAGAAAATATTCATGCAATTAGGAGTTTCATTTAAGGGCGAAAAATTTCCTCATGTAGATTTCTGCAAATTTTCTGTGCTGATGACACTAAAAGCCGCTTGGTTTTTAAAGTAACTTCCATGTGAGGAGTGTTTCATATATCTCCTCACTGTTGACAGTGGACCTATTTTTGCATGCAAACTTTAGCTGATGTGACTGCACCTTTAAACGCAATGTTGGGAGCACACTAAGGTTTACCTGTGCACTAAGTTTTGGACACTAAGCTGTAGTTTTATGTTGTGTTTCACTGTGCCCCTGCCCATCAGGAAACACCTTGTAAAAATTCCTGTTGTAAACAACACGTTCCCTTCTCTGCTCTTCAGTATCTGATCTAGACCCACTAGATTTTTTTCTACCTGTGATGTTGAGAATTTTACCATTTGTTTCTCCCATCAGATTGTGTCTCTTGAGAAGGATCTTGTTGATCTGAAGACTCCATCTAACAGTGATGTGGCCCAACTACTGGATTCTTATCAGGAACAGGTATGTGGCAAAAACAGACGCGACTCTTTTTAGAGTTAGAGATGAGTGCCTGCCGTTACACTACACAGTTACACTACACAGTGGTGGGCTTGTGTAAGCTGTCACCATAGCAACAGTATACAACACTGATGGATTTGCTTTCAGTGCATCTTTATATAGTTACAATTAAATGTTCAGCAAGCACCAAATGTACGTGGTGACACAAATGTGGAAGATTTTCTCACATTAAAGGAACATTTCATCCAAAATTACATTCTGTCATCATTTACCCACCATGTGTTTTTCCAAACCTGTATGACTTTCGTTCCTCTGTGAATTTCAATTACACTACTTGCCAAAAGTTTGGGGTCAGTAATTGTTTTAATTAATACTTTTATTCAGCAAAGATGCATAAAAAATGACAGTAAACGCATCTATAAAGAGTACTATTTTAAAGAATTCAAAAAAGGTATCCAGGTTTCTTCAAAAATATTAAGCAGCACAACTCTTTTCAACGTTAATAATAATAAGAAATGTTTCTTGAGCACCAAATCAACATATTAGAATAATTTCTGAATGATCATGTGACTGAAGACTACAGAAATTACTGCTGAAAATTCAGCTTTGCCATCACAGGAATAAATCACATTTTAAAATGTATTTAAAAGTAGAACAGTTATTTTAAATTGTAATAATATTTTACAATAATCACAATAATGTTTTACTGTATTTTAATAATATTTTACAATAATCACAATAATGTTTTGCTGTATTTTTGATTAAATGCAACCTTGAAGAGCAAAGAGTAAAAAAATGTTACAGACTAATAATACAGAATAATAATAATAACTTTATTATATAAATTTAAAAAAAGATATACAATTATATATATATATATATATATATATATATATATATACATACATACATACACACCCTGGTTTCAGTATGCTATAATGAACATGAAGGTCAGTTTAGTGACAGTATTCCCAAGACTGTCCAAAAGCTCAAAGTCCTCTTCTGTGGTTTACTATACTCATTACACTCATTATGGCTTAGTGGTATGGATTTATGGCCATCTGTGTTTAATGATGTGAAGTTGTGTGTGCCGAACAGGAGTGTCTAAGTGAGGATTATTGTGACTCATACAGTCTTTACATCACAAAGCTTTCCAGAGATCCTCGGGAGGGAGGGACTTTCATGCTCCGGACAAACCACTTTCACAGACCCTTGCCAGACCTCTTATGATCATTCCTTTTATTTTATTCTCTTCTATTCTCAACAAATTATAATAGTAGCCTAATTAAAAATCCAAACACTGTGATTATTTACAGGTAGTCTTTGCATTATGATAAGCCACTAAAGTGCACTGGATGTTATTTATGTCTGGCAATGCTCCTGCTTCAAAGAGAGTTTTATATACTGCAGCTGCCACTAAACCATAAAACCATACACTTATATTAACTTTGTTCATCAAGGTTGCACTTTAAAGCCTGTATATTGTTTGATACTAAAGATTAGATGGGGTGTATCCAGACCTGAGCAGATAAGGGAGGAATATAGACACTTTCATTCTAACAGTGAATTGTGATTCCATGTTACGGATTCTGTGACAATGTATTGAAATAGAGATATCTGTATCTCTAGAGCAGGCGTAAAATGAAATGTCACTGGGATTCATGTCACAGCTTTAAAGCACTAGGAGGGAGTAAATTAGTCTACACAAAAGATGAAATGATAAATGGCCTGAATCTGAAACAGTCAGTCAACAGTGTACTAGTTTATAGTGTATTTATATATGCACTACCAGTGAAAATTTTGAATTTTTTTTTTTTTTTTGAAAAATGTTTCTTATGCTTATTCTTCAGCTTCAGACACAGCCATGGTGTCTGACAGGAACAAAAATGGCCTCACACATATTCACACTCAGATAGATGAGGATTGCAGTTGTCTGGGTTGAAATACAGCCCTGTATATGTGCTTCAGCTGGTGTGTAAACACAGACTGCTGTTATGTCTCCTCAGAGCAGTCTGGATGCTGAGAAACCTTTTGTGCTGCAAGAACAGACAGATGCCATCGACAGGTAAACCTAAACGCTCTTCTCTCCTTGCTTTATTGTCATATTCCCTAACCAAAACTTTTTTTTTTTTTTTTACAACTTTTCAAAATGATCAAACATTTATAATTAAGCATCAGTTTTCATGCTTTTATAATTTTTTATATTACTTGGTTCAACATTGTTGCAATTCTTTTGAGATTCTGGATCAATCCACAAGAATTCATGATCAGAATTGTAGGTTAAATGTTGATCATTCTGTTTACTGAAAAATGAAAAAGAGGACAAACCTTTATAGATACAAATTATCTATCATTCAATTCAAATTATCTATCATTCAATCAATTATCTCAATTATCAATTATCTATCTAGCCATTTTTGTAGATGTACACGTTTTTTTCATCACTCTGTCCTTCAGAAATCATTCTAATATACTGATTTGGTGCTTAATAAACATTCTTATCATTATCAATGTTGAAAACAGTTTTACTGCTTAATATTTTTGTGAAAACCATGACACACTACCATTTACAAGTTTAGGGGATAGAAGAGTATTTATTTTATTCAGCAAGAATGCATAAACTTGATCAAAAGTGATCAAGTGATGTTTATTTTTTCAGGATTCTTTGATAAGTAAAGAGTTGAAAAGAACAGCATTTATTTGAAATGGAAACCTTTTGTAGCATTATAAATGTTTTTACCATTACTTTTGATCAAATTAATGCATCCTTGCTGAATAAAAGTTTTAATTTCAAACACAAACCACAAACTTTTGAACATTAGCTATATCTCCCAGCTCCAGTATAAATCAGCATTGTATTTAACCTGTAATATTTAAGTATGATTAGCAGTGACACAGTAATTGTGTAATTGCACTGTTTGCATACTGTGATGGTGGAGTCAAAATCATCTGCAGGAGCAGTGCTGGCCTAATATCTGTAGACTTCACACTTTTGAAACCGATTAGTTATACTTCTGGGTTTGTGTCTGTTTCACTGGATAAGCTTTAGACACCAGCCTTCAGGTGCTGGTAAAACTTGAAAACTTCCAGGCAATTTATGGCACTCTGAAAGGCCCATAATTCAACGTGCAGGGAAAAAGTTGGGTTTGTTGATCAAAGGCCTGAAATGATCGGACTGATAAACATTGGACATGCTCCAAAACTCAAGTTTCCACCATGACCAGAGCGTGTGCAATGTTGTCTTTACGTCTTCCCTTCTGGGTGCTTGAGCGTTTAGTGGAACAAATTTCCATGAGCCTATACACCCCTTGTTTACCTGTTTTTGTGGAGTTTGACTCTGAATTGCATATGAGCCTTACATAACATCAGCTGATTCTGCACTAATCTGCTGTCCCAGGATTAAAGGGGTCATATGATGCTATTTAAATTTTTCCTTTCTCTTTGGAGTGTTACAAGCTCTTGGTGCATAAAGAAGATCTGTAAAGTTGCAAAGACTAAAGTCTCAAATCCAAAGAGATATTCTTTATGACTAATTTGGCTTGACTGCATGAGCGTGCAGCAGAAAAACCTCCACAGATGGGGTTTGTATACATGTTTGTGTCTGTAGGACTGACCATATTTTGTTGTTGTTCTATTGTTTCAGGCTCTTTTCAGCTGGAAGTGTGGAGGAGATCATGGAGAACCTTAAAAAAGATGGCTCTGCTTTTGCACTCAAACAGACTGAGGTGGGTTCAGGGAGGGTGACTAAACACAAAAAAAAATGACCCAAAAGTGAAAATTGTTGTGATTAACAATTACAGTCTTGACCTCACAGAAAGCTACTTATGACTTTAGAACAGGGGTCTCCAAACTTTTTTACACCACGGACCGGTTACGTTTGGAAAATATTCTCACGGACCGGCTAGACTGGGGGTGGGGGTATTTAGCCTAATATATATATATATATATATATTAGGCTATTATATAGTATTATAATAGCATTATATAATGGTTCAACGCATTATATTGTGGTTTTTTTGAGTCACATATTGGACAATTTTTTCGGATAAGCAAGAAAAAAAATATTTAAAGCACAGAGAATGACAATGCCGTGAAGGGTTTTTGACCCCCATGTGTATGTATACGCAACTCGGTATTTCCGCGCTGTCTGAAACATGTCTCTTGTGCGCGCTTTGATTGTGTGCGAGAACAGCGCGTGAGTTATGAATTGAGCTCTCTTTCGTTTCTTCTTCTTGTGGTTTAAAATTGCTTGTACGTGTAAATTGGCAAATTAATCTGCGAATCACGTGCGTGCCGAACGGTAGGGTCTCATCCGTACTATTACGGATCAACTGCGATCCATTTAACTCTTAAAATGTGACAGATCAGAGCAATCTTTCATTTACTTATTTAACATGAAATTGTCAAATTGCTACTCCATATCAGTCGCATACAAAGAAAATACAGAATAATTAGAACAATCATTAACATAAATAAATAACAGAGTGTCATATCTATACACATTTTTCCCAGAACGTTCTTGCGACCCGGTAGCAATTCTTCCATGGCCCAGTAGTGGGTCGCGACCCGGTGGTTGGGGATCTCTGCTTTAGAAGATGGAATATAGTGTGTGCTTTACGATAGATCAGTTTTATAATATTTCTATGGTGTTTTTTTATTTTATTTTATTTTTTTATCACTTCGAAGTTTTACAGCCCTCAGCCCTAGTCCTTGTTCACTTTCATTATATTGAAAAGAATGGACAGGATATGACCTTAATGGCCTTTTTGTGTACTACAGAAAAGATAAAGTGATACAGGTTTGGGACAACATGAGGCAAATAAATTATGACAGTATTTTTTATATATTACTTTTTGGATAAATTATTCAGTTATTTAGCAGAGTAAGACCCATACGAAGCTCACATTCACTCCCTAGTGCAAGTGATGTTTTAATGAATCTCATAAAATGACATGGCAATAGGGAAGGTCGTAGCAAGGTTTGGTTTGTTCTTCATATAGGAGTGTGTTTCCATGTGCTGCTCCTGCAGCTGGGTAAAGCATCTGATTGATTCTGGGATGTTTAGCGAGATAAACAGAATGAGCGCGTATGGCTTCTCATTTGAGGTCTGTGTGCTCTCTGCTCTCTCTTCTATTGCGTAATGGGCCCTGAATCATATTATACCTCATTAGTATTTCAAAGCCATTCTGTTTTTTCTCCCATAGCGCTACTTTGCCATGCATCACTTTGTTTGTAGTGAGCTGTAGAAAGGAAATTGATGTTTGACATTGTGTTGTTTTATTGTTGAATATTTACAGGTGCTGTTGCTCAGTATATGTCTGGACTATTATTTTTTGAGTGAAATTCTGTTTCCTGTTTGCTGTTTTTGTCCTTTCATGACCTAAACAAAGTTACAATATAAATAATCGCAATATCTCATTATACTGTATTATACAAAGTGACCCTGATATAAACAGACTATTCTGTTTGAATTAAATGTGAAGATTTATGACCAAACAGGTCATGCAAGGATCTCCCCAAACACAAGGCTGTTCATGGACTGGTCCTCTGCTCATGTGGGGCCTCTTTTTGTCAACAGTTCACTTGGCCATTACCTTTGTGTGTGTGGACCATTTCATGTTTTCCCCAGCTCACACTTTTTTTTTTTTTTTTAGATGTATTTATGTATGTATGTATTTATTTATTTATTGGGAGATAATTGACAGTTCACAGAAAATATAAAAAATTATGACTTTTTTCACCCAAAACGACACATTTCTGCAGCTTCTGTTAATTTTTGTGAAAACTTAAGCGAAAATCCATCCATCCACTGTTTTATAAGTTTGAACTGTTTGATCTTTGATCAAATTTAAAATGAAATTAAAATCATAACTTTAGCTGCTCGGTCTGTCCAATTCTACGGTGGCCGAGAGAGCTCAACGCGCTGCAAATGAAAAAAAACTAATGCAAATAGAAAAAAACACCTGCAAATTAAGAAAACATCTTCATCAATTTGACAACACACGCACTGCAAATTCTCACAACACAACCAAATACAGAAACGCACTGCAAATTCTCACAATTCAACCAAATACAGAAATGCGCTGCAAATTCTCACAACACAACCAAATACAGAAACGCACTGCAAATTCTCACAACACCACCAAATGCAGAAACACGCTGCAAATTCTTACAACACAACCAAATACAGAAACGCGCTGCAAATTCTCACAACACAACCAAATACAGAAACGTGCTGCAAATTCTCACAACACAACCAAATGCAGAAACACGCTGCAAATTCTCACAACACAACCAAATGCAGAAACGCGATGCAAATTCTCACAACACAACCAAATACCGAAACATGCTGCAAATTCTCACAACACAAACAAAGAAACGCGCTGTAAATACAAAACAAACAAACAAAAACAGAAACACGCTGCAAATATACACAGTCCACATCGGAAACGTTTAAGGGATGCGCATTTCTTTGTTTGTGTTGTGTGAATTTGCAGCGTGTTCTGTATTTGGTTGTGTTGTGAGAATTTGCAGCGTGTGTATCAAATTGATGAAGATGTTTTCTTAATTTGCAGGTGGTTTTTTTTCTATTTGCATATGTTTTTTCATTTGCAGCACGTTGAGCTCTCTCAGCCACTGTACATTTCAGATTAATGTTTTTAATTGCATTTTTTAATCCACTTTCATTACTGCCACACAACTCAGCATGCTTTCATGGTGTAAAACAAAAAGATGATACTTTGTTGATACAGTCGGATATTTAAATTGCTATTTGTTTATTTTCATTATTAAATTCTGGTTTTTGTATTGGATTTTACAGACTCTGGCCAAAATGTCCCCAACCTCACTGAAGTTAACTTTCAGGCAGATTCAGGAAGGAGCGAGAATGAGTTTGCAGGAGGTGTTGGTGATGGAGTATAGACTTAGTCAGGCCTGTATGGTATGTAATGCAATTCCCTGTAAATGCAATGCTTTATCATTTCATTACCCAAATCAAATCAAACAACGGCTCTGTGTAGTTAATGCTGCTCCATGTGAAAGCCCGCAGGTGATGGAGATTTACCGCTGATTACAGAATGGCTTTACTGACAAGATGCGCGTTAAATATCGCATGCGATTTATCGTGCAGCCCTAATAGGATGTTGAATTAAATTGAATTAACCTGAAGAATAATTTTCTCTTTCTGTTATTTAAATTCAAAGACATTCAAAATTTTGTAAATTAAAGCAATCTAGAAGTATAATGTTCTGCCAGAATTGTTTGTACATTACTGAATTTAACATTTACACATTTTACACGTTACATACACATTTCTATAAAATTTTAACTATCATCTAATGTTTCTGGAAATATCCCATATGATATATGTCTATGATAGTATGTTTATGATTAATTCATATTTGTGTTAAAACTACATTTGAGATGATGAGTTTCTTACATTTCTGTACATTGTTGATGTTAAAAATTATTTTGGATACATATCAGGTACAGTACATGCCACATTTTCTCAAGGAAAAGCAAAATCTCTCCACTAATGCTGTAAAATTTACATGAAAGTCAGTTGGTACATTACTATAATATTGAAGGTTAAAATTGACTGATTTGTAGTACAACTGCTAAAATGACACTTAATGAAGTTTTTAAAATAACAAAGTTACAATTACATAATAATATTTCTACTTCAATTCGTTTTTTGTTTTTTTTAAATATAAACATTTAAATGGTGGTTGTCATAAAAACTTAATGGATTTATTCAAACGTAAATTAAACATTGAAGAACAGTAAAAGTTATAATGAATATATTATATGGTGCATATATTTAGCAAAATGCCCCTCTCTACAGTTTATTTTTCTATATGATTAATGAGTTTATGGTCACCGAATAAGTTTTTTCTGAGGTAAATGTGACGTTACGTGACATTGTTTACAAGCCCATATTGACGTTTTTGCGCGGCTGAAAAACTGATTGAGAGATTACATTAGACAGGATATGGATTGTAAAGTTGTACTCTTTCTTTTAACTTACCTTCGGAGGTTTAGTCATGATTGTTTTGTGCTGAAACTGGTATTAATGTGAAAGAGATGATCAGTTTGTTGAACTGAGGCGCTACAGCGATCTGTCACTTCACATTAAACAGCGCCAAAATGGCATTTATTGTTGGAATATTGCAATACAATGGACAGAATTTGAAATCTGAGACTTTATTTCATATTTAAAGTACCAACGCACAATGCTTATTGCGATTTATTGGATGGGAGGTGCGCTTCAATGTTCCATCCATTAACTGAAAACAGGCTAGAATAATCTATTCTTGGGATTTAAAGGAACACTCCACTATTTTTGAAAATAGGCTCATTTTCCAACTCCCCTAGAGCTAAACAGTTGAGTTTTACCATTTTCGAATCCATTCAGCCGATCTCCGGGTACGTGACATTGTTTACAAGCCCATATTGACGTTTTTGCGCGGCTGAAAAACTGATTGAGAGATTACATTAGACAGGATATGGATTGTAAAGTTGTACTCTTTCTTTTAACTTACCTTCGGAGGTTTAGTCATGATTGTTTTGTGCTGAAACTGGTATTAATGTGAAAGAGATGATCAGTTTGTTGAACTGAGGCGCTACAGCGATCTGTCACTTCACATTAAACAGATCTAATAATGTCTGTTATTGGCAATTATAAAGGTTATTATAGGGTTTTACCTCAAATTAAAGTGCCTCTTGCAGTATTCTTAGCCAGCTCCACTCACCTAACCAAATTTTTTGTCCAGAACAACTACAGAGAAAAGACTGTCAGATTTTTTTCCCTCTCTGCTTGCAGTGCTAATCGATAAAGACCAGAGTCCAAAGTGGAAACCTTCTACCCTGTCTGGGGTCTCAGAGCAGGCTATTGAAGAATGTTTCAGCTCCCTGGGTGAAAGAGATCTCAAACTATAGAAACTCTCCTCAAAAATCCCGTAAGCTGCTTTCACAAACCTCTGAAATTTATCAAAGAAATCTGCAGTGTTATTTCTGTCAATATAGCTGACGAATGCAAAAATAATTCTGCTGCTTACAGCTAAAGCAAATGTTCCTCTGAGACTTCTGCACAGATTCACTGATCTTTATGATGAAATGAACAATGCTAGTTTCTTGTGGAAATTCAGAGGTTTGGGGAGTTTTCTTTGTGCCATTCCACTGGGAAATGGAATTTAGAGTAAGCTAACAATTGAGAGCAGCCTAGTCATATTTTAAAGGGAAAGTTCATCCATAAATGAAAATTGTGTCATCATTTACTCAACCTTATTTAAAACATGTATGCTTTTACTTCGGTTTTTTATCTTAGAATGCTGGTCTTTCTCACAAAATTAACTTCAAAGAGGTTCTGCAGATATTCCAGTTTGAGTTCTGCAGGGGGAAAAAAGAAAACAGGTTAAAAATTACATTAAGTTGAGAATATAATGACAGAATTTCCTTTTTTGGGTGAACTATAGGACAGTACGAATTTACAGCACTATTGTTGGGGTGAATCTTGTTCTGGGAATCATATCTTGCATACTTCATTCTTAAAGGTGTCTTTTTCCTCCATGCTGTGTAATCATTTGTGTAAACGCTGTGGAAAGAGAATGGCAGACACTCATTTTTGCACTTGCTGCAATCTGTGATTAACCCTGACAACCTTAACACATACCCTGGCCATGATTCAGTTTGGTGGGATTAAAGTATCGTCATGTGATGCATAATATGACTGCCATTAAGCACAGTGTTTACTACACAGTTCCACTGGCATAGACTACAGAGTATCAAGCCTGACAGAATAAATCTGAATGATTTTGAGACAACGTGATGCCTTGAATTCAAATAATTCAGGTCTCCTCTTCTTTGCTCATGTAACTATGTGGATGTTCATAAAAGGTGTGTGACCTATATGTGTGCAAAAACAAAATATAAAATGACTGTTTTGTATGTGTTTTTGGTTTTGATAGCAGATATGGCATAAAATTTCAACAGTGCATCTCAATAAAAACAACAGTGTAAAAAACTTTTGTATTTATTGAAGTAATTAGTAAATTGACTGACAGGCTTAATAGCATGGCAGCAGACCAGTTAATCTACTTAACAGTTGTGTTTGTTAAAGCATTGCTCATACTTAATTAAGGTTAGGGATTTAAACAAGCACCCAACTGCAAGTAGTAAAGTCAGGCACGCGAGGCGCGGCATTGTGCTATAGTACGGACATGAATAATACCTCAAATCATGACATTTAGCAGAGAGGTTTGCTATTAATTTTCGAGAGAGAAAAAACAGCATTTTTCTCTTGGTGGTTAATAAATTGACATTAAAATTCCCATAGACTTGCACTGAGGGAGGGCATTTTAAGTCATATTTTAAGTGTTGTGATAAATATGAAACCGAAGAAACTGAAAGATGGCAACAGTTGAGGTATTGACAAAGGCCATGGTTGGTTTATTGGTGCAGCAGTGTTTTTCCCTTTTCTTTAAATTACAGAACTGAGATTGCACAGACTACAGGTAAATCACTTCTGTCTGAAATATACACTGAAATATGAAACGCCACAATTTTGGTCAGAATCATCAGCAACTCATCAAACATTTATGAGATGACTGGAGACCCTAGGAGAAATCAGCTTGACAGTACACGCTAGTACAAAAATAGTCTGACTGCTGTTTATTTATACTGGTTTTGAAGCACTTTTTTGTTATAGGTGATTACACACTTTTGGCCTAGTATAAGAATGGAAGCTAATGAGAGTAATGAACACCAGTGAATCATGTGCTGATTGTTCTTTTAGATACTGAGATATTCTGAGGTTCTACTCTGAGCACATACTGTAGTGTGCTGAAAGGCCTCATAAAATACAACTTAATCTTAAGATTTCACACTGCATTTATGACTTTCTATGCAAAAGTATAATGGTCAAAGTGCAGTTCTTGCTTAATTAATCGTCTTTGCAACAGGCCGTAACAGTGACACTACCCATGTCTTCAGTGGCTTTGGTTCCGGAAGTTATTTTCTCATTTGTTTTCTCCATAGGGATTCGAAAAAATTCTTCAGTTAAACGTTTAAAGCCATTAACCAAAACAAACAGCTTCATCATCAACCTTTGATTTGAAAGCAAAAACATTTTTGGTAATCTGAATAACAAGGCAAAGGTATTTAACTGTGAACTGTGAATTATTTTATGACTGAATATGATATAAAACAAACATTAAAAATTAAATATAACAAGTATAAAATACATCGATTTATTTTATACTTATGCAATTAAAAAGTTAATTGCAAAACATTCAGATATGCACAAATATGTAAATTATTTGAGAAATTTGATTACACAATGCTCTATGGGAGAGGGTGATCTCTGAAATTAAGATTTTTTAGTAGTTATGTAGTTGAAAACACACTGACATGTGATCAAGCTTATATCATTACTTAACCACATCAGAGCTCATGGTAGGTCTGTCTTAGAAGGTTTATACATTATCACTAAAAATCTATTTTTCTATGGAGAAAACGAATGTGAGTTTTACTTCCAGAACCCCACTGTTGCACTGTATTGACCTGGAGATCATTAAAGGGAGTATATGGCTACCTGACAGCATGGCACAAGACCCAGAAGTGCCAATATCACATCAATAAAAAGCATTGGTGAGCAGCTGTTAAAACACTACCAGAAGAGTAATTGTGCTTGTATTAACAATCATTAAGGACATTGGCATGTTTGATCCCCTGTCTGAATTTTGTCTCCAAGTGAGGGTTTCGGCAGCCTGGTAGCACTAAGTTTGTTTTTATAATGTCTTGGCCTTTAAGAATTGCATATCTGAGCTGCACAGAAGAAAATCTTCTATTAACAAAACTGTTTAATGGCTTAATTTGGGAATCCTTCTCTTTTGAATGTATTCTTTCATGGCATCATGAGAATGCAGGATGATTTGTAATCTCTAAATTTAAGAATCCATGCATCATGTATAAACAACATCTGGCCATAGTGACCACAAGGTTGTTTGTACCAGGAATTACAGTCGACAGAGCTGTCATGTCAAAAAAATTTAGCAATTAATTAATGCACACTTATTGATCCCTAGAAGCCAGCACTAGCCCCTTAAATAGAAACCGTAACCCCTGAGCAGGCGTTCTCTAAATGTGTGGTCACATTTATTATTTTTCAATGATTTTTCACGGACAAAATCCAGCCATTTCAATAGGAATCCACATGATCAGGAATTTTGCATCAAGGGCGAAAGATTTCCCCACACAGATTTTGCTATGGGTTCAAGTAGGTCACTTGAATTCTCAGTGCTGACCAACAAAGATTCTTGGTTTGAAAGTCATCACTACACTATTGCCAATGGACCTTTTTTTGCCAATGAAATTTCACTAATGTGACCAAGACCAATGGATGGATGGAAAATAGAAATGAGGTACTGTCTGATGTGCTGAGCCACATGAACATGAAAATACTAAAGGTAAAAAATTGAAGTCTGTACTAAACATGGTTGGGATGATTGTGGCCTTTAGACAGTTGCAGAGACTCTCTAATTAAACGACTGGGCTTTGAGGGTAAACGAGACATAAAAAGATGCAGTCTTGTGGTATAACAGCTCTTAGTTACGAAAACAGGACCCTAAATTTAACTTTTAATGTGTAAAAACAAAAAATGGCTGAATATTTAATGTGAATCCTTAATTGGTATAAAAAAAGAGGTTTTCAGAGATCAAAAGAACAGCTTCCCAAAATGACATGATCCTCCACTGGCCTGAAGTTGTCTATCTGAAAGCTCTCCTTTACATACAGGAGGGGTGTGAGCCAGGTCAATCCAATCTTATTTCATCCAGTTGAAACGTTATGGCACATCACACTCAATGTAGGGGATGTCACTGTACCGGCTGTCCACCTCAGCCCATTGTTGTACTGCCCGGGCCACAATTTCCACTGAGAGTCTCTGGGCATAGTCCAGCAGCACCGGATTGACCCATCCCGGGTCCTCCATGGAGCCAATCTCTGAGAAAACTAGAACTGCTTTCTCTCCTTGCTTTCCTGGCTTGCCATCCACTTTCTCCGATGAGCTGGAGTTCTGAGTGGGGTCGCGGTGCTTGGATTTCATGCATCCCATGATATAAATAATGTAGCATTGGTTTGAAAGCAGTGAGGGGAAGAGATGCAAAGATGGCGAGATACCAAGGTTATATTCCCTTGTTTGGCAGTTTATAGGGTTTTGTGATGTATGGATAAAGACGTATTTCTGTACAAAGTGTAGTTGAGACACTCCAGATGGTCAGCCATGATGTATAGCATCCTCATGGCCACCTCACACTTGCCCTGTGTGAAGAAGAGGAATGGTTATTGTGAGTTATTGCTTGTCTTTGCGTGGTTAAATATATATTTTCAGTGTCTTGGCAACCTTGTCCATGACACCATAATGACTACATCTTCACAGGAATGAGGATTTCCTTATGAGGCAATATAAAGAAAAATGTGCTTTAATAGGCTAAAGCATGTAGTAGTCGACTAGATATGGTATTTATTAGGAATGGCAAGTCTGGCTCATACAACGTTTTAAAGAATCGGTTAAAAAAATGCAGTGGTTGTTTATGCAAACACATAATTCCGTAATCACACAGATAATGCTGTTCATTGTGGATTTCCTATTTATAAGCGTTTCTTTTTTGTTTGTTTGTTTGTTTGTTTAATCCCAGTTCAGATTCAGGCCTAATTTAAAAGCTAAATATAATTTGTATTCACATGAAACAATACTACAAATCTACTTTCAGAAAATAATGTTTATGTGTTAATAAAATACCTTACAAACAAAACTATTATGTAGGCCTAGTCTATAGCAAATTAATGTAACGTTTTATTAGTAACATTTCTGCACATTTTAAATCTGCTTTTAGCCTCATCAGTGA